TTTTATTCTTGCAGAAAGAATGGGTGATCTGCAGAGTTTTCAAGAAGAGTTTAGGAGGTAAGAAAGTACACATCTCAGGACTAATCAAAAACAGAAATTCTGGGGAAAATTCAGAGTGCTCAGATTTGCCTTCATTAATGGAATTATCATCAGATGATAATCAGACCGGATATTCAGTGGCAGAGGATTCAAAGGTGCCCTGCTTCTCCAACCAACTGGAGGATCCGAAACCTCAAAACAACATGATTGATGAATTTAATAATTCTTCTTCATTAATTTCCCAGCCTAACGAAAATCTAGCCTATTCGGATTCTGATTTGATGATGCAAGATCACTCCTTGTTGAGGCTTTTGCTAGAGGGAAATGGGGCAAACGTAAAGCAAAATGGAAAACCCAAATATTTACAGGATACGGGTATTGGTTCTTCCATGTTTGGCTATGGAATGAGGGCTTATGAAGATCAAGAATTTCCAGTTATCTCTACTGGGCCAGTGGACATTGATTGCCTTTGGAATTATTGAATATGACGATGATGAACTCCAAGAAAAGTTAGAACCAGCAGCAGATTAGAACAAGAGTAGAGTATACTGCTACATTAAGATAATTTTATTTTGTGTAAAGGTTCCTCAGCTCAAATATCTAGGAAATATTATTAAAATTTCCTGTACTTTATTGAAATATAATTATTTTACTTAATTCTCGTTAGAAACTTTTTTATTATTTATGTTGTTTGGATTTATATTTTAAGTAATTATTCACACCAAACATGGTACAAGTCTTATCTTACCGTCGTCTACAGGATACTATTGCTTGCTTAGTGACGTTAAGTGTAATAGATTACCGCTAAGCAAAACAAGCGGCCTTTATTTGTATTTAAGCACCTGTTTGAAGTAGACCGGACACGTAAAAATAATGCGAATAATTGAAAATAGTTGCATGTTAGTACACACCCACTCGAATTTTCAGGCAATAAAGAGATAAAACTAGCCATGGTTCGAGGCAATCTTTTATAAATTTCAAGTCTTGACACGAAAATTATTGCATAAGAGTACTCGAATCACGTAATTGAGAGGTTATTTGGCCGATGTTGACCACATTCTAGCTTAACATCAATTTAGAAGTTTGAATATGCAAAATGTGCGACCTCTATCTTACATTTGAGAACTTATTAAAAGTGAATCAAATACGTTAAAACTATATAACTCGATGATAAAATCAAAGTAAACCTACAAGTTGGTACAATCGTACTCAAAATTTAGTCAATGAAGTTACAAGTTTAGAAGGATTTGAGGAAATCATGAGCTAATTTTTTTTTCAAGTATATACATTCACAAATTCAACGTATGCAAGTCCATTCATTCAATTGATTCCTTCCAAAGTAGTGTTAGATCAAACACTTCTGTAAATCAATTAACATTAAGGATCTGTTCAGTAGTGAATATAATAATTAATTTTATAACTGTTAAAGAGAAAAATGAGTCCCACCTATGAGTGAAGAAGTAAAAAATGATGATTAGAATAGTTAAATTGATTTTCTAGGGTGAAAAATTGTTATCAAACGAGGGCTAAATCACTTGATTCAATCATATAGTCTCGATATTCTTCAATAAATATTTCCTAAGTGAAATTCAATTAAAAAATTTAAATTTCGATCACATGGCGTGGAGCTAAGTGCATTTTATGTATGTCAAACTAACTCAATGGACTAATAAACCAGATGGTACAATGAAATTATCAGAACAAACTCTATAATCATTTGGAATATTTGATCGTCTAGAGAAATTTATTTTAATTGTTTTATTCCTAGAATAATTTATATATCCTTATTCAATAAATACAAATATTAAATCTCTACAGAAAGACTGATGTTATCTCTTGAATTGTTTATTATTCAAAATCAAACTTCCATAAATAATTTTTTTACTTTTCTATCTGAATTGTTAATTAAATGAAGAAAATTAGTATTTCCTTGATACTTCTTGAGTCTTGACTAACATCGCGGGAAGAAAGAGTTGCTGTTGGGCTGGTTATTGGCGGGCCCCACCAGGCATAGACCTTTTCTAATTTGAAATTTAATAACAAAGCAGTTTTTCACTCCTTCACTCGACCCAACCCGACTTGACTATTTTTGTATAATTCGATATCGAAGATACTCTATTCAACTATATTTTTAGCAATCTTAATTGGACAACACGAAAGGGACTTTCACAAAGAAAAAATGACTATCTTCTTTCCATGTTTGCGTGTAATCGTAAATTTTACGCGTTAAAATTGATGAATACTTAGTCTAAAAAAAATTGTGGAAGAGTCAAGAGCATGTCTTTTATTTGGACAATAATGGTTCGTTACTATAATGATGGCATATTGGCGTTCATAGTCTACCCAAATAATAATAACCAAGAAAATTGTGGATACAATTATGAATTTCATTGTCAGCAATTCTAACAGAAAGATATATAGAGTTTGGGAAGGAATAATCAAGAATGAAAAACTCATGCTGAACTTGGGTAGGCTGACGGTAGTAGTTAAGAGGAAGAGATCAAATTTTAGAGGGAAAGTAACTAAATGAACGAATGTCATTGACGATAGTTACATTCTTAACGACTGCAAAACTTATATTAGTTAGTTCCACTAATAAATGCAAGACTTTTAGGATTCGTCTGGTGGGGTTTTTGTTTTTGTTTGTGCTTCTTTTGGAAAAGATTCTTGAGGAAACTACGTTAGTCCAGTTCCTTCTAACAAGATAAAATACTTTTAGAAAATCATTTAAACATATCATGTAGAATTTAAGACTTAAAGAAATATATTATTTTATTTATAAAATAGATTTTACACACTTTGATTGTATAGAGACACTCCTTACTGACACACTACACTACCTCATTTTGTCTCTCTTTCCCACTTTTTCTAGTTGTTCTCTCTCTTTTCACACACTTTCTCTCATCACTCATGCATACACAATCACCTTGTATTTATAGGTGTTAATGGATGATTGTGGAATGTTCTAGTATGGTGGTGAACATAATTCTAGATACATCCATAAATGGTGGTGATAGTAATTGAATTCTTCTAGCATCTTCTATGCATGGATCATGGAGCTTCCTTAAGTTGGTGATGATCTTCATATCAAAAAATAATTTTATAATTCAAAAGAAATTTTTAACTTTTCAGAATTTTTGTTAAACGAACTCTTGATATGAACCCATGATTGAATATGTTAACTTTTCACCTTCTTACGTATCCCTTTCACAGACGGGGTTCATGCATGCATGCAATGAACTGACTTCATAAATCAACTTCCCGACCAGAAATAAGGTATACAACTAATATGGCTGCCCGAATATGACGTATTGTCACTTCAATAACGAAAGGATGGTGACCGAGGCATCTAAGCAAGGGAGTTGGCAATTGCGAAACGTAGGGATTAGCTCACCTAACAAATACTCTATTATTGAGGACTTTTCAAACTGTTGAATAGTCTTGTTTAAGGTTAGGAATATATATACACACGCTTGTATATATCAATATAAAGAAAAATAAATAAATAAAAATTTAGCAAGTGCTAACATATTTAACTTGTTCAAATCTTTGTTTTGATTATTGTTGACCTTAGAAATTGGACCATCCACGTGGCTAACCGGTAGCCACTCCACGTATTCCTCTCTGAGCACAGTCAATGCACGGTTAGATGCACACGGTCGGAACCAGCGGGGGTGGTGGCGACCGTATACACTCCGACGGTCAAGTTAGGCTCATGTGATCGAAATAGTACCAAGGTTGTGCAAAATAGTGGAGAGGAGAATATATATTTGCATGCTATGGAGTGCTAAGTAGAAAGAGTTTCATTACATCTACCTCTTGCCAAGCCTTGGGTATTTATAAGTGAGGAGAGTCATTGGATGTGGGACACGTGTATACATCTGAACTGTATAAGGCGTCTGCTCATAGGCGTCAATCAGCCGCGTCTATAGAGTGGGCGGGTAGTTACTTCTCCCGAGTTGAGTTGAGATAAAGTTGATAGGTCACATCAACTAGCCTCATGGAGACGTCAAATCACTTTAAACCTTAGGGGCAGAAAAGATCTTAACAAAGATCTCATTCTGAAATCGACGGTGGATCCTCTGGCCAAGGTCCCCGGGGTTAATTTCGCCTCAGATTCAGGGGGCAAGGGAGCTTCGATCGGTCCTTCAGGATTACTATGCCTCGTAGTGTGATAGCAGATCGTCTCCATTGGTGAAGTCACTTCGGATGAGCGTGCCACACCTCGCATGATGTAGTGGTGAACTTTCTGAAGTGGTTCAGTTAGGGGCGTAACAGTGGTCCCCCAAGTCCAAGTATGAATATTTATATCATAAGTAGACTTGTCTTCCCGATCGGGTATGTGCGCCTCGGGATGGAAACCGTAGCTTGTGAGAACCGATGCGTTGATCCCAGGCAGATGCGCTAAATCTTCGCCACTGCGTGAGGGAAAAAATTTACGTGAGGTCGAGGTGCTGACGAACTGGACGATGCGTGGGGAGATTGTCAATGTAGCAACCGAGGCGATAACCCATAAGGGACTCCGTGCCGGATGCGCTTAAGCTTTGTAAAGTTGAGTGAGGAACTCATCTGCCACCGGTGCGCTGACCTACAAGGGACGACGTGTTGGGAGATGACTAAAATTTTGTAAAGCTAAGGAGGGAACGCAGCTACCGAGGCGATGACCAGCAGGGGACTCCGCGTCAGGTGCACCTAAGCTTTGCAAAGTTGAGTGAGGAGCTCATCTGCCACCGGTGCACTGACCCACAGGGGACGACTCTTTGGGAGATGACTAAAACTTTGCAAAGCTAAGGAGGGAACGCGGCGACCGAGACAATGACCCGTAGGGGACTCCGCGTCAGGTGCACCTAAACTTTGTAAAGTTGAGTGAGGAGCTCATCTGCCACCGATGCACTGACCCATAGGGAACGACGCGTTGGGAGATGGCCAAAACTTTGTAAAGCTTAGGAGGGAACATAGCGACTGAGGCGATGACCCACAGGGGACTCCGCGTCAAGTGCGTCTAAGCTTTGCAAAGTTGAGCGAGGAGATCGATCTGAGGCGGGCGTATATGACGCTAGATGTTTTGACAGCTGTTGTGTATTTTCAAGGTAACAGTTGGGTACAGCGCCTATTCCCCTAAAAGGCTGCTGCGGCTACTTATTGTTGATGGCTAGTGGTGACCGAAGCGACGCGTTATATGTAAGCGTGAGGGTCACAGTAAAACCTCAGGCGTAAATCAAATCTGGCGTTTCATTTCAACGGACTAGATTGATGATATGACGGACGGCTTAGATTGATTGCATTTGAATTCAACGGTGGAGATTAGTTGGAGCGCTCTATAAAAAGCGGACTTGAGCATTTTTTGAAATTTTTTACTCTTGCGAAAATAGAAAATCCCATTGCTCTCAAACCTTTTTGCAATTTCCGGCGTTCTTCAAGCATTTCCGACGAGAACTTTGATTTTTCGACAACCACACACCACTTTTTGACCATTTTCGGCTGGGAAACACTCAAACTCGTAAGTTTTAGTAACTATTTTGAGATATTTCCTTTCTGAAAATGGCTTTCGATGGTAGTGCTAGTTTGGGAAGGGGCTGGAGTTAGTACGGATGGACGAGCCCATTGTTGCGGCCTGCTCCGAAGTAGGCGAATCGATACTTGGGGGGAGAACATTTGGAAAAGCC